AAGTGTGTCCAAAAATTACGGCGATGGGTTCGGTGCCTGCTGAAGGGCCGCGAAACCAATTTGAATTTTAGATGGTCTGTCGAGCGATCTGAGGCAATTTTTACCACTTAAACCCATTTTCTTTTGAAAAATATGATGGTGGTGTTACATACATACACCGGCAGGAAGGACGTGTAAGGGGGCAAACAGTATCAAAATGAAATCTTGTTTTCATGAGGGTTGCAGTTTTTCGTTTCAATACTCAGTGTTGTAGTCGAGACCGGATAGTCCGAGACCGAGACCAAGACCGAGACCTGAAGATTCGAGACCGAGACCGAGACCGAGACCAGCCCCTTCAAGGCGAACCGAGACCGAGACCAATATGGTCCGAGACCGAGACCGAGACCGAGACCGCTGATAATAAATAACAATAGTCGAAATAAAAAAAACAAGACACGTTATTATAGTTGAAAAATGTAACCTTTCCATTCACAAAGAATACAGACCAAATTTTGACCAGTGGCAATGTTTACAAATTGATACATGACACCTTACTTGAGCAAAAAGTAGTTACACTTAATAAATATGGGCTTTGACATGTTGTCTACACCCAATCGTGACAAAAGTAAAAAGTTAAAGGTAGATGTTTCATCTGTTATAGGAACTCGGATCCTAAACTCCACAGTCACCCCCTTGGTTTCAGCTATGACTTCTAACGGATATTTAAAGATGCAATTTTAATTTTACATTGTGCCTCTTTTTTGCTAAAATAAATATAGGACTTAACTTCTAACAAGAATTGTGTACTTGATTTTAAAAAAATGGGAGCTAGAAAATGTTGAATTAATTTTTAAATTTTTGTCTTAGAATGTGGACTTGTACATGTAGACCCACAAGTTGCGAGGTGGTAGCCAGAATGTGCCAGATATGGATTTTTAATTTTTTTCTGAACAGGATTTTTAATTTTTGAGGAACAATGGGGTAATTTAAAATGAGCAGCCAGAAAATGGGGTCTCATCATACACTCTCATGGCAACAGTGAGTGGTAACTGGTAAGAGTGTGTGAGTTCAACGCTGGAAAATCAGGTAGAAAAATTTACTTTTTCTTCAAAATACTGTCCAAAATTAAAGAGAACATTGTGTGGGGTCGAAAATATAACTAATTTGAAGCACCTCATTTATTATCAGAATACAAAATGCAAGTGATTACGCCCACAGGGGTGGGCTAAACTACACAATTCCTGAAAATGGTTGACCCTTATTGCATAAATTGTTACAAGTTTATACTTTGCTTTATGTGGCCGACTCAACAGATAAATGCCGAACTTGTTCCAAATCGTTCAGTGACTGGTACTGCTGCAGTTTTACATGTACTTTGGGGACTTTCCAACGTGCAGTCGAGTCCAAACCGACCGCGATATATAACAAGCTTGATCTACGGGCTAGCAAATGTTTTAAATAACAACGGTACTGAACGAAGTGAACACAAAGTAATCGATCGAGCTGTAAAAGCTACATATTGCCGGTCTCGACCCGAGACCAGCCAAAATATCGAGACCAAAGGGGACCGAGACCGAGACCAAGACCGAGACCACAGCTTCCGAGACCGAGACCGAGACCGAGACCAGCAAAAAGTGGTCTCGAGACCGGTCTCGAGACCGAGACCGGTCTCGAGACCTACAACACTGTCAATACTACATAAAAGTTGACAATTAATTTTGTCCAACTTGGCAACCTGCACTAAGCTATGATTAACCATGAAATGTAAAAAAAAAAAATATAAAAAGTGGGATGACCAAGCCCTCCACAAAATCTCAATAGTCCCTAAAAAGCGAACTCCAAATGACTTCCGGTGAGAGTTGAAGTCCCAATGACGTCGAGTTTAAACTATAGCTAAAATACAACCGATCAAACAAACGGGGTCCAAAACGTGAACCTCATACGTAACGGCGTCGACTGCTGCAACATTACAGGTGCGTTCTCACTTATCACTCTTGGACAGTGTGCGCTGTGTAATTATCTATGGCTTAATCTCCAAAATCGTTGTTACCTAATACGCCTGCATTTATTATCATTCGTTGAAAAGGTTGAATTATGAAATAGCCTCAATCAATTTACTTCCATTCATTTTTTTTTAATTTACGTGGACAGCGATCCCTTAGGATGGGGATGTGATGATTTTACGACCAATCAAATTTTAATTTATTCATTATCTGTTTACTTGTTCATCTGGGACGCAACCGGCACGTTTTACACCTGCACATATCAATTGTCTGTGTAATAACTCGAAATACAAAGCACACACCAAAATATATAATCATGCCTTACAACATCGTTTTTAGGAGTCTACATACTTCATATCAACGTTTTTTGGTCTGTTTTTACAGGAAGGTGATAAGTGATAATTTACTGAATGTTCTTGTGAACACATCCCGGTAAAGGTACGTGCAAGGATCCACAACACATTTGTGGGTGGGGTGGGGGGGGATTTGTTCCCACCAAAAGTGTGTCCAAAAATTACGGCGATGGGTTCGGTGCCCGCTGAAGGGCCTCGAAACAAATTTGAATTTTAGATGCTCTGTCGAGCGATCTGAGGCAATTTCTACCACTTGAACCAATTTTCTTTAGAAAAATATGATGGTGGTTTTTTTTTGGGGGGGGGGGCAATGACCCCCGTCCCCCCCCCCCCCCCGATCCACCCTTAAGTGCAACTCGCCCAGAGGAATTGAACTTCGATGCCGACCGGGAACTCAACGGACACAACCAGATTAATTGTCGGGGCTGGAGAATTCCAATGAAGGCCGGTTATTTGTGGTGATTGGAGATTTTCCAAGGAATTGGTACACCGTCCTTTGTTATTTATTAAAAGGACACACACACTCAGCAAAGTCCATTGTAGGAAATCATAGTCAATCCGAACATGCAGCAAAAATATTTCTAGCATCGGTAAAATTGTTATTTATTTTACAGGGCAAATTTAGGCATGCTAATAAATGGCCTATTTATGCGATTTGGGATTAACAAATAATAAACGACTGTTTCTTCTTGTGTCAGTATGTCTAAGCCCAGTCGTTCCCGTAATGTTGAGAAATAGATCTTCTTAATCTGTTACAAACACATTTTGCTCTTTGGTTTTGTCATATAGGCAGATGTGAACCAGCTAGACTTGTCGGTGGAGGGTTTGGGAAAAGGGGGGGGGTCCCAACGAATTTATAAGGAATTATGGGATATCTTTCCATAGTTCTAGTATGAAATCATTATGGCATTTGTTTTAATACACGACAGACGTGCTCTGACAGAAGGGGACCTCAATAATTTTCCCGCAAAGGCTGCATAATGAGCAGTTTAATAAAGGTGTTGACAATAGAATACATGTGAATAATCACTTCGGATTACAGGATTGTATCACACAGTGCAATGTAACCATGCAGGGGAGTTGTTCCGGTTCGTGTTTGGGCTATAATGAGACATCCACCACGAAAAAGATTTTCTTCAAATAATAAATTACAACTTGGTAGGTTTTCCACGCCAATTTCAATTACCACCCTAAATAAAAATGTTCTCCATTTCCCCGTCAGATTCAATTTTGTTTGGGAACAAAAGGTGATGCCTTACATCAAGAATCACTCCCCAAACCCTATTTCAATCTGAATTGGGGGGGGGGGACTGCTATGCTGAATGTGTGCTGATGAAACAGACATAAATTTATCTATGGGTAACGGGACACCAGGCAAGGGTAAACCTATTAAAATGGTTGGCGTGTCGCCTGGGGAAACATCCCAATAAACTATAAAAATAAAACACACACACAAAAACAATATCATTGACTGGAAAAAGATGAATCTGGACACCTCGGTTGATAAGTTTGGTCGATATTCTTCATAGATACATGTATAAAATACCTGTATAAGATGCTACTTTGCATATTATGCATAGATTATTTACATTATCATTGTAGGAATGGCTTCAATTAATTTATTGACCCTAAAACATGGCTTTAGACACTCGTTTGGCACAGCGTGGTGTAGGAAACACATCGGTATAGCAGAACGGCTGCATAGTAAGCACAACCCAAACAAAGAAAGATCAATCAGCAACGTCCCCACCCCACCCCAACCCTCTCTAAATTTTGGGAGACATAAATTAGCTTTTTATCGTTACAATTATTGAGTTCCTCTACTGAAAATGAGACAAGCCGCAGTGCAAAAAATCACAAAATCGCAAACAAAAACGTACAAAGAAAATAATCAGTCGTTGGCAACTGCTTGCCAAAACGATCAAGTGATGTGCTAAAACCTCAACTGTATTTCATTGGAAAGGGATAAGGATGTGTTTTGCTATTTCTGTTATCGAAAGTTTGCAGGATCTTACAACATTTTAGAAACATTTCAATACCAGAAAGAACACTGGGGCAAACCTTTGTGGAAATAGCCGTTAATTAAGCTGGTCAGGGTGCGGTAACCTTTTACATGTAACAGTAATGAAAACTCTAAAAAAAAAAAACAACTAGCATAAAACCCTAAAACTTACAACTAAGTGAAGGTTTGTCAGCGTATTATTTTATCTTGCTTTTAAATATTACTATTTCGGTTAAAATAATATCAAATCAGTTAAAATATGGCAATAACTGAGTCTGTGGTCATGTAATTACAAGTACACATTTGCTATATCAGTTTCACATGCGTCTTTGAAGCTTCCTCGATCGGTTGTCAGTAATATTGGAATCTGCCCAATGAATGATGAGCCTGTATGGGCTAAGCATTGCTCTTACTCAGGCATCACTACTTGGGTCACAGGACATTTCAGGTGCTTACAAATTATATTTTCCTATGAAAAAAAATGTTTAGTTTATTTTGTGTGTTCAATGGCACCCACACAAAATTGGTTCTTAACTAAAACGTCAGGGTATGGCATTTTTCATGGCAATTCTTGCTTGCAAAGTTTCTGGAAGTACCTTGCAAGCTTCTACCCGTTTTTCTCCTCCCCTATCTCCAAATCAAAGGTTTGTTTTATGTACTTACCTGTAAGATCGCAGTGACCTTGTTGAAAGTAATAGCAGGCCAACAGCACCAGGAGCAACGGACGGCAAATGTAGACATTCCAGCCATAACGTGATGCATCCAAAGATCCAGTCATGTTCTTATTACATGTATGCTGGTTGTACATGTATGTCTAAAATCCGTAGTGTTGCTTGTTAAACATGTGTAAAAGATGACAGGTGCGTACCAAATGTATGTTCTGCCACGGAATGAACACGTTTGGCCAGCAACTGTGAAGCATATGAACAGAATTTTAATATTGTATTGTTTACTTGGACCTACCGTTGCTGTACATTTGATTGACGTTCAGGTTGACTTCCGCCGCCTGGGCGAAACTGCGCAAACCAATCAAAGCCATCATGACGGAAGTAATACATATATTAACTAGAGATTCGCGTTTGTTGTTACAAACGCAGAGTGGTCGGGTAGACAACTATTTTATGAAACACTGTCCAGTTAAGTTGTGAATATTTTTATGTAAGAACAAAGTATCAGGAAATTAAATACTTTCCAGTACAATCAATTAAATTTCAGTAAACATGTACACATACAAGTTATTTCTGGCTTGATAACGTCATTAGTCAAAAACGGGAAGTGAATACTGATTTAGTTCGGAGTGGATGTTCATTGTGAAGTTAAATAACGTATGAAAATTTGGAAACTATAAGTGTATGTATTCATAACACAAAACTTCCGGTTTGATGACGTCACAGTGTTTGGAAGCAAAAGGTGAACATTGTAATGGTATCGTTATCTGGGCTAAGATATACGACATGGATCAAATGATAGAATTAAATTTAAAATGATCGTTGGCAAATTCTCATAAAAGTAACTTCCAGTCTGATGACGTCATGAGTTTGAAACCTTGCCAAGTTATCTGTGGTTAATCAAAGAATATCAAGGGTCGATTTGGTAAAATTTGAACCCATGGTTTTAAAAGTAAAGAAGAAAAACAATATTTTATTTCTGCTAGGGGCGCCCTTTCGGATGATGACGTCATCACACTGTTTTTTTTTTGTCTGGCATTCCTCACTAAACACTTTCATAATATATGAGTCTGTGGTAAAATGCTTCCGCTTTTGAGTTATATTCAGTTTTTATTGCACTTTCGGTAACACCGGAAGTAAAGGTCAAGCGGTTTTGTGTCTGGGAACACAAAATGTTTCTCACGGCATAGTCTACAACCTCACGAAAAAACGAACACGATACTCTATTTAGTTCAAAAGATATAACGCAAACTATTTTGTCAAAATTTGCCCTTAAATCGCTTGTAACTTGATACCTGATGACGTCATGATGACGTAACAAAATTTATAACATCTTCGTAACATGGTAATGTCAAGAAATCTCTCCAGGCAGCCATTTACTCTGCCGTCAGTACCGCCAGACCAAATTGGCAAACTGTTCGGTGCCGACACAGAGTAATCGAGGATGCTTTTTGAAGGGAAAAATCAGTCCGGTAGTTCTGACACACAGAAGGAAGCTAATCTTCCCGCTGATCCCCTGTGGGAGATTTTTGGTCAGAAACTGAAGCGCTTGGTTTTTTTTCTTTGAAGTTTGTTGGTTCTTATCTAAGTTGGCATTGCACCTACATTCATCTCCTCAGATTAATTCAGTGAACCTGGTTTTAAAAATTGGGTCAAAGCCACAGCGATGTCCCATACCAACCATTATTTCTTCAGTACCTAATTTAAGTAATTTCACGTGCAGTGCCTTTGATGTCTTGGGTCCAATCTGGACAAAATCTATATCATGAGAAACTGCCATTTTTTTTGTTTTGCTTAAGTGTTGGGAGGAACTTGTTTCAGAAGTTATGCTATAACACTCTTGTGACACTAGGGTTGATTGCAAGGAATATTTTTTAAATAGGTCACTCTCTGAAATTGAACTTCTGGCCCCATGTTCCAGCGTTTTATGGAATTCCTCATAATAGCTTCTATTTTCAGGGGCCTCTGGACACCATTAAAACAATTTCAGTACTGATCCCTAGATTTTGCAACATGATGTACAAGTTCAATATAAGGCAATTATTATTCATTGCCGCTATAAACAGTGCAGCACCAGCCCAGGAATAAGGCGATCGGGGGCTAAATTTGCAAAAACAATCATGAATGGGTATACTGCAGTAATTGGGAGATTTGTTGTGTTCTTTGAGACACCGGAATTTAATGTTCCAGGCTAATTTGTGCGGGGGTCGGTTATTGCTCCAAGTTAATTGAAATGTACCGGTGGCATCATTTGGCATTGTCACGCATGTGGTAATGGGGCGTCATACATGTAGTGGTGACAATGTCCAATTACATGTATTACTTTTATGTGACATCTGTGAAGGCTCTCAGGCATGACTTCACGCTGTTGTGTGCCTTTACTTTATAGAGAGCATTGTGATAACTTAATTGGCAGGTAGTGGGCAGTGAAATGTTTTAAACAAAGACGAAGGAGCTTCCTTAGTTTTCAGGTTTTTTTCTCCAATATAATAGTTCATGTTAAGAGACATAAATTCTGTTTTGAGATCATGACGACTCCACAGGAAAAAAAAGAAAGAATTCTGGTCACGAGCATCCCTAGAGGGGGGGGGGGGGCATGAAGGATATGACCCCCTCCCCCCCCCCCCCCTTAATCGTTTTTGTCGGCAAAATCGTTGTCTTGTCGGCAACATCAGCCCCGACGGCAAATTTGCCGGATTGAAGAGCACCACATTTTGTCCGATACGGTCCATGATAGTCCGATTTGAACGGCAGCCCCATAGGAAGACTGAAAACCCAATCCACATGTGGACCTGGCCAGGAATTGAACTCGGGCCATGGAGGTGAAAGGCCAGGAAGAACTTCTGCGCCAATCTGCACTTTTCCCGTCAATTTATAAATCTGATCTTACAATCTCCAAGGAGATGGCACCATAACAGAAGAAAACGGGGATAAGTTACACGAACTTGCACGGCCTGCACGGCTAGCAACAGACACGCGTCGCAAGGTTTTGTGATCAAACCGTGAACTGTTTGGAAGAAATTTTGCTTTGTTTTGATGTCAGGCTAACGTCTTCATTTTGAATTCACCTAACTTTGACCTTCCGGTAGACCCGGAAGTAAAGGTCAAGCGAGTTTACGTACAAGACACAAAATTTTAAGCAATTAATGGCCTATCTCAATGCACAATACAAATATCATTGATTATTTAGTTCAAGAGTTATAGGTGAAAGTAATTGGTCACTTTTCCACGTAAAATCGCTTGTAATTTGACACCCAATGACGTAATCATGACGTCAGAGTAATATGCACCGCTAAGGATGAGGGTCGATATATATTGAAAGTTACAAGTTCCTATCAGAAACCGTTCAGGAGAAAACCCGCGGAAACGTGCTGTACGGAAAAGAAAGAAAGAAAGAAAGAACTAGAGCTTCGCGTTTGTTGTTACAAACGCAGAGTGGTCGGGTAGACAACTCTTTTATGAAACACTGTCCAGTTAAGTTGTGAATATTTTTTTTATGTAAGAACATGTACAAAGGATAACGAAATTTAAACTGTCTGATAAAATTAGCCATTTTGTTTAAAAATGATTCTTTTAGGTAGTGATCAATGTCAGTATGTATTTATGTTTTTTAAACATAGAAAAAGTGAATATGGGTAGTGAATACTGATGTTATTCGGAGAGGATGCATGTTCATTGATTTGCATGTATTCATGTGTCCGATCATAACTGGAGCCATTTTAAATGGTAAGCTGTTTTCAGCATGAACTCTCAATACCATTTGCCTGAAAAAAAACCCCGAAATAAATACTTACTATCCGAAGGAAAATTTATAAACAGAAACAAACATTTATATTCGCCAAATCGCCACTCAGAGTTCGTACGAGGATGCCTTTCCGGGCCGCGCCACGAACAGCGTAAGTGCACACATTCTACTTTCCGAATCACAGTGTGCATGCAGTGTACAAGCTTAACCCCGATTATGACAAAAATAACTGCGCATGCGCGCTTTTCTGTCTTGCCTTGTTTCAAGACGAAGACGCGCGCAGCGATCTATTTTAGTCGTACACGCGTGACAACAGACCTTTGCTATATTTTCTTTGACTATGTTAAGTTTCAATGTCATAATGAGTGTGCTTTATGACTAAAATGCTGACGAGAAAAATCGTGCACAAAGTCTATGGGATTTGTTATAGAAGACCAAGCGTCTTGAGCACAAGACTACGCGCCACGTGTTTGGCCCCGTTCCAACAAGCATGACGATGATGAAATAATGGATCTGCACTGAATGCATGTACATGTACATGTACGATGTCCTGTACATGCAGTGAACTCACGCACACCCAGCTCTACGCTTTCATTGAATTTTTGAGCGAAGGACTACCGTTAGGGTATTTTTGTCGGCGGCGGATCACGTGTGTGAACAATTTGACAAGCCACGCGCCTGGCACAATTGATGCCAATGTCTAATCTATCATTTAATGGACAATTTAAGATTATATCTCTCACGATTGATTTTTTAGCCATTTTTGAAGAATAAAAAGTATTTTCGTTGTAACTTCCGGTCTGATGACGTCATCGGCTTCAAACTTCACACATGTGTTGTTTGCATAAAGGTCATCATATATACCAATTTTCAAAAGATTACAGCAAACTTCGCTACAGACATCTATTCAAAATGCATTTTGGACATTTTTCAACCTGCCGCTAGAGGGCGCTCTAATATTTCAGGACGTCATCGGTTACAGTTTCGAAAAGTACTTTCTTGCCGAAGACTAACATCGTTGAAAGCACGTTCATATCTTTTACCATTTTCAAATTACCCATGCACTTCCTGGTTCGACCGGTTTCGACCGGAAGTAAGGGTCGTATGATTTGACACCCACAAAGTAAATTGAAGACCCAGTATTATTCTATCGACTGCCGTTAAAAACAAGTTCCGGTCTCTCACGGTTGATTTTATATCGATTTGTAATGATTAAAAAATAGAAAAACTAAATTGCTTGTAATTTGATACCTGATGACGTCATCATGACGTCAGGACAATATGCACTACTCGGGATCAGGGTCGATATGTGTTCGAAGTTACAAGTTTATATCTTGAACGGTTTAGGAGTAAACCCGCGGAGAA